ATAGCTGCTATTTTCGTTATTTTACGTAATTCAAGTAAAAATCGTTTTTATTTTGTGTATTAAGTACAATTTTTCATTTAATCTTGAAAGAAAAACACGTTTTTATTCAACACCGTTTGAATAGTATTAACGTTTTTAAAACGTTCATCAAGATTTCGTGTAAATATATTAACGTTCTTCAGATGTTCAAGATTTTATTCAATATATTTTATTACTTTTTTTTTAAATGATCATTCTTACTTTTCTTCGAATTAACTAATTTTGTATTCAAGTTTACGAAACTCTACTTCAACATAACTTAGACTATAATGATGGTAACATAATTTTACTATTACACTACATAGGATTTGGACTTGATAATATTATATCACGAATCTCCTATGGCATTCCGACTAAAACAAGTTCTTTATAGTATTTATGTACGCAACCATTAATTAAAAACGAAATTGAATTTAAAACCAAAAAAAGTTTCTAAGACGTCCATACCGAAGAAAATTCGGCTCACTAATATTTAACTCTCACTAACTATTAAAATTAAGAAAATTAAATTCTCAACTTTAGCCTTTAATAACGATAAAAATAAGAAATACGAGAAATTCCAATTTTTCTTTTAATAGGATTTTGTTCATCTCTTACATTGCACAATTATAATTTAAAAAAATGATCTGGTTTGATTCAACTGCAGAAATGTACTTATATATTATATACTATTTTTTATTGTTAAATAAAATATATTAAAACAGTATAAAAATATATGAGTTGTTTATTTTATTTAAAAATCTTCTCAAAAAAAAAATTCATGAAATACGAAATAAATAAAGATATTAAAATTTGATTTCATACTTGATTCGTGATAACATATAGAACTTTTTTTTTTTTTTTAATATGAAATATATTCATGTATATTTATAAGAAATTTTAGCTTTCAGATTTTAAGTGAAGAATTTTTTTTAAAAAAATGAAGAATTTATGCATTTTTTTTAAACTATACTGTATTTTAAAAATTTATTTTCAGTCATGAGGTATCATAATTTATTATATATTTGATTGTTTTACAGAATAATTTTTAGACATAAAAATAATATATTAAAAATGCTAGTGATTGTTTATTAAATTTTACCCTCATTGTAGAGTGTTGTTGTTCTTATTTGGATTGGATGGGAATTAAACTAAATTTGAAATTATTATACTCATTATTAAAATCCTTTAATATCATGTTAATCAATTCATTTGAAAACAGTGTAATATTGTACGCAATAACAAAACGATTTTCAAACAGTAAATATTTTGTATAACTTAAAATCTTACTTTACATTTTAAGTATATCGAAAATACTTAGAATGCATCGGTTATCTGGCAAAACTTGTTTTCCATATATAAATATATTTTTTTTTTTAAAGATATTTTAATTGACTATGGAATTTAATATTTAATGATTATTGATACTCGAATTTAAGTTTAATTAATCTATTTGATCTATTTTTAATCGATTTTAAATGTAAAATGTATTCAATGTTTTATTCCTTAATTATTAATAATTATTTTTAAATTAACACAGCTAAATTCATTCCAGATCTCACTATGATTCGTATCGGTATCAAAGGTTATATAAATACAAACATAATAAGAATATGTTGTTTTATTTCTAATTTAAAATAAAAAGTTAATATATTTTAGGTGTGAACTTTATAAGATATAAAATATAAGGGAATGTCTAAAAAAGTCAGCAGTCAATTTTTTTTGTTTCAAGTAAAAATGTATACGTTTAAAGCATATATTTTGAATTCCATACCAACGATTTACGTGCATTGGAATCGTATGTGCAAACATATCATATTATACAGCGTCACACGGAAAATATGAATTTTTGTCGAACGGAAGTCGTTCAAATAGTTTGGCGTACAGGCTTAGAATATATATATATCGATAGAAACGATGAAAAACAAAAACTAGTTTTTGAACAATATTTCTTACTATGTTGTAATCAATAAAAACATTGATATATGATGTACTCGTTTGTAGATTTTGAAAAAGTATATAATATCTATTGAAATTTTTACATAACGTACTTTAACATTCATTTTCTAGTGACTGTTCTATACGATTTTATAGCTTAAAGAAGATGAAAACAAATTGTAATTACAACTTAAGTCATTGAGTTGCTTGTTATGAAACATTTATAAAAATACCGATTTCATAGTATTGATCAATGTTTATAACTGTGTCGGTATAAAATAATTTTTATGAAAAACTCAACATTTGACACATATACCAAATATATTAATATGATTTATTTGTTGTCTTCATACACAATGTAATAAATATAACTGAGCGATTGCTTTCAATTAATTATGTATAATATATAATAGTTAATTATGTAAAGTTTCGATCGCACTAAAAAAAGGTATTATTTACGTTTGAGTATTATAAAACACAAAATAATGGTTCTTCATCTTAAAAGTTTCTTATTCTTTTGTATCGTCTTATTAAACCTAATTTTATATAGTTGATTTTTTTTGTTGACCGGTCTCTTAGGATAAATGTATACTATTTTCTCTTTTATTTGCTTTCGCGTTAATTTTCTTTCTTCTGTGTTCGGGATTCGTTAACTCCAAACGATTATGCTGGATAATCTTCTCCATTGCGCTACAGGTCGTTTTTGAAAATTATATATGGTATAAGACAAACTGTTGCAAAAAGTATAATGATCAAATGAAACAATGGACGTTGACGTATGTGTAGAAATTGTAAGTTTTCGTCAAAGGTAATATTACATTGAACACAATGAGGGGTTCTCATATACTCGGGTGCAATATAGAATTTTCCTATAGCCCATATTTTGTTTTTATTTATTTATTTTTTGTTGTTGTATCAGAATTTGAACACTGATAGAATTATATGATTAAATTAAATAATAATATATCTATTAGCAATGAATACATTTGTATTAAAGTTTCCAGAATGACAAACACTTTTAAAAAATGAAACCGTATTATAATTTTATATAAATTGAAATCATTATTTTTTTTTTAACAAAAAACGCATCACAAGTGCTATCATCCATATGAACGATAATTTTCTATACAATGTCTTGTTTGATTATTATAATTTCATAAAAATGTAGAATTCTAAAATAAATGCATGGTATAATACAGCAAATAAAGCGTGTAACTTGGCCTGAATTATTTACCACTCAGTAAATTGATATAATATAAAAATAATAGACACTTTTTGATACTAAGAAGTTTTAGAAATATTTAAAAAATAATACGCGTATTCATAACGCTTACAACTGGAAATAATATGACTTATAAAATATAGGAATCCACAGCTTACAGTGAAACGAGAACAATTAGAATTCATAGAATTATAGACAATTCAATTGCAGTCATTATAATGAAATTTTGATAGAAAAAGATAGATTAAAAAGAAATAGATTAAAAAAAAAAAAATAATCAATAAAAATCAAATACTTTTAATACACAAAAATTATTCTCATATTTAAAAAGACACAAGGCCCTTGGCATCATCTAAAATATTGAATAATGCTTTCGATTGTTTGTTATAGTTATTTAAATGTTCATTTGAAAAAAACCAGTGTAAAAAAATATCAAATTTAAAATAACTAACTATCTTAAAAAAAAGGACAAATTGATACAATGGTGGATCAATGAAGATATTAATAAGAGTGCAAACCATTGTCTTTTTGTTTTGGAAAATTTATTAATAAGTAAAATGTTACTATATCACTGGACCCGATTTAATGTCACTAGTACCCACTAAAACGGACACACGTTTAATGATTAATTAGAAAAAAAGATTTGAAAAAAAAAACCTTCATTAATGCCCTTAAAGTGGCATATCAGTTACCATATAACGCATTGCCCATTTTCACAAGTGTCCATAATACATTATTGGCATTCAGAGTGCACAGAGAGGACCAGTCTTTCATTTATCCCCCCTATATAATGCACCAAAAGCCATTTTTTATTATTAGTATTATGTGGAAATAGGAATATAGAATTATTGACATTATGCGTTTGAAAATCGATCCAAAACTCTATTTATATTACGGTTACACCACTACTTCTGGGCCATGAACGCGTATATAACATACCAGCCAAAACGGTTGCGACATACACACGAATAAGCACAAGCACACGGACAAATGGATCAAAAAAAAAAAAAAAAAATTGAAATTGAAAAATACCCACAAACTTTTGCATAAAATATAAAAAATACGCATATGTGTGCGTGCAACTGTTGTATCCATTGCTCCAACGGTCTTTAATAGTGAAAAAAGTTTTTTTTTTTTTTTAAATCAAGCCAAGACATTTCGCTAATTACGTTTTGATATGCTTACTGTAAACCGCTATCGGTTGTATTATGTAACTATAAATACGTGCAACTGCAAAAACTTTCAACAATAATTCTTCAAAACTACCATACATATTCGAATAGGTATAGGATAAATATGTGATTTTTATCTCATTTTTTCAAATCGTAGTTATTATTTTATGATTTTTTTTTTTAATATTCGTAGGTTATCAAAATTGTTCCGCTAAAAGTGAAGCCCTCTTTATTGACACTCGAATACGTAGACTAACAATACGAGTATATGGTGTTCATGTCAAATAAAAAAAAAAAAAAAAAAAACCCTTCTTATTACTTACATTCAGTATTTTCTATTGTATCGCGGGATTCCCGTAAAAAAAACTGATGAGTACTTAGCATTGGAATCTATACAAGCCCATCGATTGTTTAATTTGATCAACTCTAAACATACCATCATGCGGTCAACAACTCTTGCGATGGAAACAACGAATTATTTTAACAGTACTAGAATATATGATCAACTTAACTATCACACATGTTCATATTAAATAAGTTAACAACAAATTGATATTATCTTATTATTAAAAGACGTACATGTACCGTGTTTCCTTATCGAGTGGAAGAGAAAAATAAAAATCATGTATGACATAAATGTAATTACTCACCCTCGACGAGACAAAAACAGGCGTCGTCATCTGAAAACAAGAAACGAAAATTGAATCATACAATATTAAACACATCTATAAATATATATATATATTAAGAATATGTGCCAAACTGTGTAAAACAGATGTAGTATGTGTGCACTTGTATATGATTTAGATAATATTTAGTATATGATTTACGTTAAATTCAATGATTTTCATGGCTAACTAATAACAATATCTGTACATTGGTTTTTGCGAGTAAAATGTGTCTATTTCATTGCAAAGGTGGTTAAAATAATATTTACAGTACGAAACGAGTGAATAATTTAAATTACGTGTTTCTGTTTTAAACAAACACTTGAAATTTTCCATTGCAAATTATTGGAATACATTCAACTTTTGCATACACGTGATAGTGAGGTTTCAATGTAATCATATAATTTAAATTGTTATAAGCTCACTCAAATTGATAAGCATACAAAATTAAATTTTTGACATAGAAACACAGTGATCTCATTCTTGTTATAAATTTTCAATGAATTCGATAAAATAAAAGATAACCAATAAATAAAAAAAAAATAATTAATTAACTTTGGTTATATCAATACTAATAGTTAAATAAGAAAAAAATCCAGACAAAAATAAGATTATTAAAAATTTGAAATATGTGCTTTCTATTTCTGGTGCATGTATATAAATTTCTAATAATTTTTTTGCAATATAATTTATTTAATTTGAAAGCATTACAGATTTTAAAAGATTTGTAGATAATATTTTATAATTAATAAGATACAGCTAATTATATTAATTACATATAAATTTATTCATTTTAAACGTTTATACACATAATTTAGTTAGAATAGAGGTTTTACGTACATCATACGAATAAATTATTCTCATTTATATTTTTTCTATCATTGCACCAAAGATATCATCTTCGAAATACTTTGATAATCTTATGAGATTTAGCCTTTTCTGTTTTTTTTTTTTTTTTTTTTTTTGTATTTAACTTTAATGATATTTCAAGTGTATTATTTATGGGACACAATTTGTATTTGGTTTACGAATATTATGTCGAAAAACTGTTTTAAGAATATTGCAATAATCATATTTTCTATATATTATTATTTTTTAATCGCAATTTATCCGTTTACAATATTCACGTATCAAATGACTTATATTCATATGAGGTAACTATTCTAAGTTATGTAGTATTTATAAAGAATATTAAATGTATTTTTTGAATAGTTTAAAAATCAATATTACTGTATTTTCATTGTGCGTAAGTAGTCATGCTTAGTTTTTTTTTAAAATGAACGATTTTATCAGTTAGGTCTACTGTTAGAATCCTATGAAAATGTTATTTTATTCTAACAAAAAACAAATTTAATTTATAAAATTTCTTTTATGCCTTTATATAGGTTTATAGTTATTTATTTCGCGAAAAAATGACGAACTTTTTTATACTAAAACTAATATATTTCTCTATTTTATTGTGTTAATCATACATTTCATTATAACAAAAAAATATTAAGGCTATAGTTTTATTAATCAATAAGTAGGTTTTAAATATTAATTAATAATAGAGTTAAGAAAAATGTATTAATTATAAATGTTTAAAATATAATACCCTACGTATCAGATCTGAATCAATCTATCAATGCCTGGATGGAGATAAATAAATACCATAATTTATTTTATACGAATTTCAAAAACTAATCCAATTTAAAATCAATCTATACCATATAATTATCAATTCAGTATATTTTAAAAATGGATTTTTACATAAAAGTGAAATAATAATTAGTTTTTATTTTAAACATAATATTCACAGACGATGTATACTTTTACTTGTTTTATTGAAATTCTAAAAATGTTATACTTGTAATATAGTTCTACAAATATAAATACCATGAGTTGGATCTAAGTTTTAGTCCAATGGAATGGATTTAAGAGTAAACTATTATTTTACAATACAATTTATTTTCAGTATCTAAAATATATATTTCAATCCAGATTACAAAAGAATCGAATGACTTATCGTTATCGTATCAAGATTAGCCTATAGTGAAATATTATGATTATTTTACATCTCGATGATTTATTATTCAGATTTATTTCTTTGTGAAGATTCTGAACAAAGTATTCTTGGAAAATATCTTTTAGATTGTTTGTATTATTTTTAATCAAGAAACCTCTAAAAATTAAACCTTCTATATATATATATATATATATTTTATTTGAAAGTAAAATACCATTTGTATAATTTAGCACCATAACTATTTGTTAAATTTCAGTTATTATTTCAGTTTTTAAAAACAAAACAAGTGTATTAATTGATTATTTTTTTTTCTTTTAATTGTTTGAATTTTTTGATTTTTTTACCTCACTGCTAAATATAGTTATTTTGAATTTAAAGATTGACTTGTAAGTAATTAATTTAATTCTTAAATATTATCTTGGTTGAATTTTTAAAAATATATGTATTTTATAAGTAACAAAGTCATAAGTATGTAGAATACAAATATGATTATTATGTTCGATATAAATGTAAGAAAATTATTATAAATTAACTTTTCATAGAATTATTATATATAAATATTGGACTAGGAGAAAAAAAAAATTAAAACCCAAAAATGATAATTATAATAAAGTATAATCAACTTTTTTTATTAAAAATAAAGGCAATATATTAGACTTGTGTACATGTTATTTTTTGAATTTTTCATTTTATTCATAAGTATAAAGGTACAAGTTTGAAAATTTAAACACATTGGTTAAAGTTTATGTACAATATTAATTTTTGTAAAAAAATTTAAGATTTTAATAGAGTTTTCTACATTTATGTTTTCATCTCGAGTCAGTCACAAATAATATTAACATAAATTAAGTAGTTCTTTATTAGAAATCACGTGAACAATGAACGAGAAAAATATATGATTCCTTTGAAGCACTTTGTCTCTGTTGAATTTCTATATAAACAAATTTCATTTTCATGTATACACTTTGTCGTGGGAATATAAATTCATTTCATAATTTAACTTTTTAACTTTTCCATATATATATATATATATGTATATATATATATTATATAATGTAAATATTTGATAAGAATACTTTATTTATTTTAATATTGTCTCAGTGTAAATTATGTTATTATTGTTCGATTATTATTTTTTATAAATAAATTATAAAGGTAGTCATTTTAGATATGGGATGAGGATGGATTTGTTTCCTCCTACGTAATCACTTACCCAAATTAATGAAATTGATTTCATCACTACAATGCGTTTAGATTCCTATAAATGTATATAGATGTAACTGTTTACACCATTGGACTCGTTATATAACGGTTAGGCGGTGGTCATGCGAAAACTTTTAGTAGGATATTTGATTTAATTAGTTACAATCAATTAGATTATGCACTATGATTATTTTAGAAACTGGGTCAATAGTGTAATTTTTTTTTTTTATATATATACAATTGAAATGTCACACTATATTGCTATTGGGATTTAGGGGCAATAATTTACGTATAAGGACAGCAATAAAAAGCTGTTTTCAATAAAAATTAACCGGCTTGAACAATAGTGCAACTGTATAGAAACATAATTCTATGACCAATTTATCAATTATCGAGTAAATCGGTTGAATACAATCATTTTATTTGAAATAGAAACTTCTCTGAGTGCGGAATAGTCTTTTACACTAGTAAATCCTTATAATAGTCGTTTATATATATATATATATATATATATATATATATATATATATGTATTTCAGTGAAATAACTTGATTCAAATCGTAAGAGTGGAAATTTATATTTTTTGTTTCTAATAAGTCGTACGAGATAAGTTACCCACGTTTAGAAGGGAAAAACGAATACTGTAGTTCCTCATAAAATAATGATATATCTGCGCGTGTCGTCAAATTATTCCAAGATATTTAATACACCAGACTTGAATTTTCTTGTGATTGACAAATATAGTTCTAAGAATCATTCGTACAAATATTTCAACTATAACTTTTTGATATAAATTTTTTTTTAAAAGAAATTTTGTACGTTTAATTTGAAATAAATATATATATCGACTTATTCGATTAGGTATACGCGGAAAAGGTTGGAAAATTCTATGTCAAATTTTTACTGGATATTATTTGTAGCTTAAAGAAACCAATTTAACAAATGTTTTCGAAACTTCTGGTAAAAAAATACGTTAGACGAAAACGTATATTATATTAATAGAAAACGTAGAAAATATATGCATAAGCCTCAATTTTGCTCAAAATCCAAAAACCTTTGGATAAGCCAAGGTTCGTGCGTAGTCGTTAAATTCAATAATAATCTATCTCTGACTTGCTATACCAGGTACATAATAAGGTATATATAAGGTTTTGACTGTTACACATTCCATTATATTTTAAATATCAACTATTTTTATCGGAACTATAAAACTTTGTTACTCGTGCGGTAACCGATGGTTCTAAAATTAATTTATTGATTCGATAACTAAATGGTAGGTATCTATACATAATTTGTATTATCATCTAATATTTTCAAGACGAGTAGGTATATTTCTGAGTATTCGTGTGTATTTTTATAAGATTAAAAATTATATCACAATACGACAAACACAAATTACAAGACCGAGATCAATTTTCACAATAACATATAATGAATAATAATTACAAATTATACAAAATTCTCTTTTTATTTTGAGTAACATATATAAAAATCAAATAAGGTAAATATTTCATAGCAATGAAACTATGGGAGAATATTGTAATATATATTTGATTAAATTATTCAGAAAAATACGTCTGTTTTATTTAGAGTGTTTCACGAAACGATTGTTCCTTAAAACTCATACTTCGCAACACCATCAATTATGTTGAAACATATCTGTATTTAATAAGCTTGTATCATTGTTAAAATATTTATACTTGGAATAATTACATTCGAATAATAACAGTTATAAAATAATAATGTTTATAATGTTTAATAATATTTTGACACTGAAACTGATAAAAATATATGATTAAAATAT